AGAGCCTTCTGAAGAAACTTTCATCTTTGTAGATTGTTCTCAACAGAGCTCTGGAGGCATCGTTCGCAACCTTGAGGTACAGATTGGAGAAACCCTAATTCCTACAGATTTCCATATCCTCTCTAACAAGCTGAACTTCAAGACTTCTCTACTACTTTGAAGAGCCTTCTTAGCCATAGTTGGAGCTGTTTGTGACCTCCAAACAAACAAGCTCTGCCTAACCCTCATCAACCCTTCCATTCACTACGATCCTGTACCAGTAATCAAGTTCCCAAGGCCAACCAGCTCAACACTCGTAGCCACATGTTTCTGTGCCCACGAATTTGATTCTATGGAAGAGTATGACACCGAAGAAGCAGTATCGACCGATGACACCACTACCCCATCGATCGATATCCTTGCAGCACCATCGACCGAAAGTCCTTCCCGGCCATCGCTCGATGGAGCCTTCCGACGAACCGAACCCAAGTTCCCAGAAGCCGATTTCAACGCAGAAGATTGGAAAAACGATCACTACTTGCCCGAGCTTGCTAGTATCAATACTCAGAAGGAGTATGATGAAGATTATGAGGAGGAACGAGCTATAGAGTACCGATTTCTTCGAGAAGATTAAGCACAGCCTCCATTCCCGACCTTCATCCGACGAGCATCGACCGATATGACACCTGGTCCATCGATCGATATGCCCTACCCCAGATCGCGCAAACGACGGTTCGAATCAACAAGCGACCAACCCTACTGCAGACCATTCTATGTCCCACACGAACCACGAGACGGAGATTACTCGACTGGAAGCTGGGCCAGCGGTTATCACGAAAGTTTTGCAGTAGACACAACACCCCTACAAGCCGCGACTCAACCTGCAGATCCCGTATCGCTCAACAAGGAGTACAAGCCATCGACCGACACGCCCTACAAGCCATCGATCGACGAATACATTTCTCCATCGATCGATATCAATCCCAGCTGGATCCATAGAAATAGATGATGGTTTACAAGCCATCTTTCATGTCTCTTCCAATAGTCCCAACACATACTTTCGTTGACAAATAAAAATACTTTTGCTAGATCTCGCAATTTTAAAACCCAAAAAATACTTTGGAGGGCCAAGATCTCCCAGTTTGAATACCTTTTGAAGATCTACTTTCAGTTGATCAACCACAGCATTGCCATCGATGATATTAAACTAGGACTGCAACATATTTCCCCCCTTTGTTCTTGATGAAAAGTGTGTGATCATTATGAGATTTACTGAATCCCAAAGATAACAGCGTAGAACTGAATGTGAGAAACCATTTTCTTGAAGCCTGCTTTAGACCATACAAAGATTTGCGTAGTTTGCAGACTGCATTAGGTGGTAATGTTTCTCCCTCTCTTAGTGTGTATTTCGGAGATAAAGTCATATAGATCTCTTCATGAAGATCTCCATTCAGAAAAGTATTAGAGATATCCAGTTGAGTGAGGTTCCAGTTCTTAGCCGCTGATACAGATAGTAGAGTCTTCACTGTGGTAATCTTTGCAACTGGTGAGAAAGTGTCAATAAAATTCACCCCCTCTTGTTGAGTGTAACCCTTAACGACGAGACGTGCTTTGTATCGTTCAAGAGTACCATTCGCGTTTAGCTTGATCTTATATACCCATTTACATCCAATAGCATGCTTCCATGGAGGCAAAGAACACAAATACCAAGTCTCGGTACTTTCAAGAGCTAGCAACTCCTCATTCATTGCTTTCAACCATTCATCAAATTTCTTGGCATGAGCAAAAGATGTAGGTTCAATGTGAAGATTTATACTATTGGTTTACAATCAAACCAAAATAAAATTATACATAACCGGAATTAACCAACTAAACCAACTCTCTTCATTAATAGGATCCCTTTGTTTGTTTCGAAGACCAGGTTCTCAACATCCAAACCTTCTCCGCTTTTCCGATCGTTTCCTTTCGCTGCCACCATTGATTCTCTAAAATCTGATTCATTTATAGTTCTTTCAGAATCAAGACAAAAGTCATTGGTAAAGATTTTCTTAGACGATTAAGATAGAGAAGAGGAGGAAAATGTGGGGGGCGGAAGAAGAGGCGGGGCTTTAGGAAAAACAAAGAAAAACAAAACCTTAACCACAAAAAACATAACTACTGTATATTTTGGTTTTCAAAAATGTAACAGAAGTGAACCAAACTATATTTTGGTTTGGAACTAGGGTTATTCGTGTTGGGTTTCTTCTAGATGAAGTAATCTCATTATGTTTGATTGGTGATAACTAAACTTGGAGTTGGGTCATTGGTATTAGTTCATGAGATTATTATTGGGCTTTGGAGGATGTTAGAGTTAGTGATACACTATATAAAATATCTTAATCTAATATGTGTGGCAAGAGTTTACACAAGAAAGAAGAGTGATTAAGAGACTCATTAGACAAAGAAGAGAAAGGTGAGAAGAAGACATATTTCGTGTGGATTTTTCAAGGTAGATTTGAAGGGTCAAACAGACTCCTTTTTGAGCTGATATTTTGTGGGAAACTTTGTAAGTCAGTGGGTTAAAGGTTCACCGAAGGGATTTGGACTTCAACGTTTGGATTTTCTGTTATCTGGGTTTTCGTGAAGCTGGTCGTCACAGTTCTTCAGCAGTGCTGTCTTGAGTGTTTGGTAAATCCGAGATTTGACAGAGGTGTTTTTGACTTGTTTATCTTGGATTTGTACGGTGGGATTAGTCTCTGGTTACCGGAATCCTTGTGAGCTGAGGTTGTTTGGCTGCTGCCGGTTTTGAAGCTTTGTGTTGCTCTCTTGTTGATGTAGTAACTTGTGTTTGAGATAGCTCTTTGTAGCTAAATACTCTGTTCTATTCAGGTTGTTGAACAAGAGGACGTAGTTGTACTGACATACATTTATATAGTGGATTATTGAGTGGACTGGTCCCGTGGTTGATCCTTCTCGCATCGAGGAGATTTTCCACATAAAAAGTGCTTGATACCTGATTTGTATTTGTTACTTTACTTGGCTGGGCTTAAAAAACAAGTACTTGCTACAATTAATCGAGTAACTAGATTTTATTACTCGCAAATACAAGTGAAGTATCAAATTCATTTTTATTTTTAGCTACTTGACTTGTTACTTGAATTGTTATTTGATTTATTATTTGCTATTCATTACTTGTTTATATATATAATAAAGTTATTTACATTTAAATTCTAACTAATTATCAAATATTTACTATTAATTTAAAATAATTTATAGGTAACAAGTAATAAAATAAAGCAAGTAATTTGTAAGTCTGTCAATTTTTGCAAGTCCTTGAAAATGCAAATACTTGTTTTTAGTAAACCAAGAACAAATCTAAATTTGTTCTATTTAATAATTTAATATAACTAAGAAGGATACTAATAATTTAATACTCGTACAAACCAAGCCGAGTACTAAATATACCAAAAATACTAAGTACTCGGCTTGTGTCCACCCCTAGTTTTAAAATCTACTGATCGGTTTATGGTTTCAACCGGATGTTAAACCGAAAACATAGACTTTCAACCTGGCCGGTTTGGTTCCTGCTGAATGCCCATAACTAACCGGTGTATTCGAATGATTCTCATGAATGGAGGAAAGTTGCATATAAGTGTTTGCTAAACCGGAAATAAACATAATTCCTGTAACAACCAATTTATGTTTGGTTGCTAGTTTAGGACAGCTGAATGGTTTGGTATGCGACCCGTTTAAGGCGCATAAGAAGCCTTATTTATTTTGGGTCTAAAGTTGTGACCTCTAGGTTAGATGTTGGGAAAAATGTCATTTACATCATCAACTTTCAAATTTGGTTGAAATAAAACATCAATTTTCTTTTAAGCTAAAAAAATATTGAACTTTTAAGCCATTTTAATCATAAAGTTTCGTGGACCATACCATTTTAGTCATACTGTTAGTGAACAATTATAGTTGACTAACGATATGCCTAAAATGGTTTTTAAAGTTGATGATTTTTTTGGCACAAATATAAATCATCATTTTTTTCTAAAGTATTGGATATATTATAAACATTTACAAAATTTTTTTTAATAACTATAACACAAATAAATAAATTTTAAATAAAAAGATAATTCTTGCCAAAAATAAATTAAAAATATTTGTTTGAAGATCTTTATTATAAATATAAAAATTGTAAAGAATTTATTAATCGATAACTCTTTTGCTTTAAGAATCAAGAGTTGAATTAATATTTCACTAATTTTTTTTTTAAATAAAATTATAAAACATAATCCAAATAGGATTATACAAATATTTACAAAAATTAATCGTAAGTAATTAAAAAATCTTCTAAATCGTTTTATAACTAAGATACTCAATTAATGATATGTTAACTAATTATTTTACATTGATTTTTGTTTATATTTTTGGTTGAAATCATTTTTTTATTTCTAATTTTATTTATTAGTGTTATAGTTAATAAAAATATTCTTTTCAATATCTAAAATTTCTTCAATATTTCAGAAAATGTTGATTTATATTTGTGCCCAAATACTCATCAACTTTAAAAGTCATTTTAAGCTTACTGTTAATACACTATAACTGCTTGCTAACGATATAACTAAAATAGTATGGTCGACGAAAATTTGTGATTAAAATGACTTATCAACAAAAGTTGAGTGTTTTCTTTGGCTTAGGAAAAAGTTTATGTTTTATTTCAATCAAATTTAAAAGTTGATGTTTTAAATGATATTTTCCCTTTACCTGTTGTGCTTGTTGTTCGCAAACAAGATATGTCTCGTATCAGAACGTAAGCTATGTTTCTGCTTCGTGTTAATAACTAAGCAGACAGAGCCAACAGTCTACATAAGATCCAGAATTTGGTGGGCTGGTTAAGTTCTATCGAAACTGAACTAATCAGATTTTGAATCAAATCGTAAAAAGAATGGAAGGCGGCATTGCTTGGTCCAAAGTTTCCGAAACATTATTATTAGACAGTAACATAAGCGCCAAGTAACTTAAACTTGAGCAGTTTTAACAGAGATTCATGAGGAAGAAGGTACAACGAAGTCAACAACAATGGTATCATCGACATAATCACCAACCTTCTCCTTCAACAACTCATCATGAGCCTCAGTTTCTCCCATACCCTTAAAATACGCAACCGAAGCAATCGAGAAACCCTTGGCATTAACCGGAGAGAAGGTTTCTCCCAGTCCCACTGTGATCTGATCAGCTCCTGGAGACTTCTCCTTCATCACTTCCATGATCTCCGTCTTCCCCTCGTCCGAGAGGTTTTCTTTCACCTTGAGTAACGTGATCTTCCCAACGGATCCTTGAGGTGGTATTAGACTTCCGGGAACTTGATCGGCGATATAATCAAAGGCCATGACGTCTTCCCAGATAGCCATCCATTCCTCAACGGCACGAAGGTGCTGGGGATGTTCAACGTACGCATTGAGATCTTCCTTGGTTCGATACCGGCTATGAAGGACGTGAGTGAAGCTGAGGGGGGATATGAGACGGTGGATAGGACCGGCGAAGAGGTAAAGCGCCTGGTCGATGGTGCCGAGGTTCTTGAGGTCGTTTACCATGGCGTCGATCTTGTCCGAGTCAACATCTTCTTTGACCTTGAAAAGGACGATGTGCTCGACAATTTGGGACATGGCAGCGTACTGAGGAGAAAGTGAGACGGGGATGAACACGTTAGGGGTATGATATATATAATTCCAAATGAATAGACAATTATATAATCAAGATAACCCCAAAAGGGGAATAAATATTGCAAAGAGTGAAATAAATCCTGAAAATATTTCTGTCTAAATCCATATTTTGGAAAATGAAATTTAAAATCCTTATGCAAATATAACCATGTTTTGAAAAGTATAATTTCATAATTCTCTAACCAAACCCAACAACAAGAAAAAAAAAACAAAAAAAAGAACAATTCAAATTGCAGCTGTCATAATAATAACATTTTTACTTATACACAAAGCCTAGTATTTTACAAGTCCAAGTTTTACCCAGTACAAACCAGGAGTAACTTTTTGATATATATATATATATATATATATATATATATATATATATATATATATATATTATTAATTGGTATATTTATATCTTTCAACTCATACATTAATTAGTAAATTTGTTATAGATTACAAAAATCTCTAATCAAGATTAGACGTGGGCATTCGGCTATCCCGTCAGATTCTGTTTGGTTGTTTTAAATCTTTGAACTTTTGGTATTTTGTTCATAAATTCCATTCGATTTTACTAAGTTTTTCTTCGGGATTTAGTTTGGTTCGTTCTGGATTTGATTTTGATAGGTTTATAACCAATGTCTGTAATCGCTTCAAATACTTTAAAAAGAACTTAAAAAATAACAAACAAGATACCCAAATATATACACTATTCAAAAATCTAACTAAAACTAGTTAAATATCAAAATTAACTAAAAATATTCAAAATAACAAATAAAATAAATTACTCTAAAATATCTAAATCAAATTAATATATATATATATATATATATATATATATATATATATATATAATATTAATACATTTAATTAATTTCAGATATTTTTAGATCTTAGTTTGAATTTAAATTCGGTATGGATTGTACCCAAATCCAAAAATACTAACTCCTAAGTCTCGTTTAAATATTTTGTATAAGTAAAAACGTCCAGGCCATTACAAAGATGAAAGATATCGGATCTTATTTTAAAAACATTATCATACAAATTGAACGTTTTAGTGTTTGATCATGGAAACTTGAACTTGTATGTTGTTGTGCATGTGTCTCCACGTACCTTCAACGTGACCAACAGTGTTTTTACTCACAGATGCTAATCGTGGACATCTTATCTTTGAAGTATGCGACTTTGTTTGGACCGTTTTTACTTGTGATCGCATGCTGGCATGCTTACGACAAACTCAAAGCAGAGAAAATTGGTCCACTCAAATACTTAAACACAACAACGATAATGCTTATCGTCTACGCCTATATTGCATCGGAAGGAAACGGGAACAAAAGCGGAGACGGGAGACGGGAAACGGTAAAATCTAAAAATTATAGATACAGGAACGGCATATATATACAAATAAAAAATAATAAAATATTTATAAAATAATAAAATTTATCGTGAATCTAACATAATTATTTATAACTTACTATAATATGTCTATTTTGCCAACTAAAAATAAAAAATAAAAAATAAACTATAAGAAAGAAGGTTAGTCTATTTCTAAGGAGAAAGAGGGCAAGGTCCCCTGAAAACTAGTCTTATTCAACAATTAAGTTCTCTCACCGTCCCAAGCCGTACCAGTGATGTCCCCGTAAAGTACCTGTCCCCAAAACAATTTCGGTACCGGTATGACACCTAAATAGACGTCCCCGTACTTCATAGGTCTTTGCCTTCTTTCAAATATAACAACTTCAGACATTTAAAAATTCAAGTATCAGTTCCGTCACTTATGTGCATATCGAACTTCTAATTTGAATCAACTTTACCCTGAGAGTCCTGATGCATTGTGGGAACTGAAATTCGTACGGTCGATTTCTGATGAAAATAGAAAAGCTAAGTAAACCTAATTTTTTCAGAGGTCCCACATATCTGTTAAACCACACGCCAAGCGATCAAACAATGAGAACAAACGAAATAACAAATCAGTAGAAAATGATAAGAGAGCAAATAAGATCTTATTCCGATTAGTGAACGTTACAATAGGTAAAGCCTCGGCGGTTAGAGCCGTCAGAGAATTCCTAATTATAACCTTTTGAGACTTGATTAACCTAGTTGAGTTGCAGCTCGAACACAGAAAAACATAAATATGCCTAAATTGCCCTAAATGCTACGCTCTATTCTGAGTAGAAAATTGCGTGTCCTTTTGCATATTCAATCTCGACATCCTTATATACTCCTCCTAGAGGCGGTTCGCTCATTCCATTTATATCCTCGCTTGAGTTTCTCGCTTCGCGGGAATATTCTATTTTCTTCGGTTTTTGTGGTTATCTTTGAAAACTTAACATTTATCTTCCGAACTTAACATTTATCTTCTCCTGCAGAAAAAGATAGACCTTCATAACGATTGGGCTTGATTTCGTATAAAACCGCGAGTGGGTTTTTAGCCGTCTTTTAGACCTTCTCGGGCCGTTTTTGACTTAAGCGTTTTTACAAATTATCGAAAGAGCGCTTCCCAAAACAACGTCGATTCTGAAGAAAGTTTGGGTTTCTCATATAGTGGAGGCAGCTTAAGGTGTTTAGTTAACTGTTGCTATTTTATACGATAAATTCGAACTTCATACGAGAAAAAATCTTGCGGTTTGTAAAGGTCCAACGTAACTTCGATCTGAAATGAAACAAGAGCGAGTTCGATCCAATGTCGAAGAAGGAAGCTATGAGGGCGGGATGAAGACGGATCGGTTGATCCAACTCACCGAGCGGGTGAGATGGACTGCTCATTCGGTCCAACTCGCCGAGTGGGCGAGTTGGACTGCTCTTTCGGTCTAACTCGCCACCGGGGTGAGTTGGACGTGCATCCAGCTCGCCGGGATGGCGATCCGGGTCAATCGAGCCTTATGCTCGTTTCATTGTTTTGATGCTCGGGATCCGTTTGGCTGAGGCTTCGAGTAACCTTTCCCGAGGACTTATTGTATGAATCCTTTTCAGAATTCATACGAAACTAAATTTTGGTCTTCCCGTTATATATATATATATATATATATATATATATTTTAAAATATTATCTCTTTTTTTAAAGAAAAACCTTTTTCGAGAAGTTTCAGTTATTGATTTTGTCATAACCGATTTTGACCCCAACAGTTAGCCTCCCAGCTCGTTAGAATCGTGATGTTCTTACGAGCGGTTAGGCATATTTGGGTAAGTTAGGCGGAATTCAATGACTGAAAGTCTGAAGGTGAATAGTGAATTTTCTTGCCTGTAAGTATATTGAGTAATTTTTCAAATTCTTTGCTTATTTCCACAAAATCTCTTTTAAGGTAGAATGATCCTTTCTCTTCCTCTCTCCGTTTGGTGTTTTCTGATCATGTGTTCAAGACAAAGAGCTTTTGCCAAGGCTCATAACATGTAAAGTAACCATCAGGTGGAAACTCGGTGAAAGCTATCTTGCGGCTCTTCAATCGTTTTGACTTTTGAGTTGTCGATCGGTCAGCTCAACCCATGCGGTTTGCAGCACCCGTGCGATTCCCTCAACTGAGCACGAGTCCAGTGAAGTTTACCAGAGCGTTGAGGATGGTCAATGGGGTATGTTCTTGTCCGTAAGCACTTTTTATGGCCAAAATTTTCTTGACCTCGAGAGTTTTCGCAGGGCTTCCTTATGATGAACCGAGTCTTTTGATGCGAGCAACCAGGACGCTCGCATGGCTCAAATTAGGGCTGAGACAGCCGATAAGGAGATTGCTCATCTGAAAGACGTTTGAATAATTCTCGTCATGATAGAGAGCCAGCTGCGACGGAGGTCCATCGAGCCTATAGGCGAGGAAAGAGAGAGGTTTCTGAAGTTATGAGGAACCATCGTGATAAGTTCTCATGCGAGTTTGGGGAGCTCAAGAGGAGTTATAAGGCTCTTAGGAAATATTGTGAGTATCGAGTACTGTGGGAGGACTCCATCTTACGCAAGTCCTTGACTATATGTTCGATGTCGAGTATGCAAGGCAAACAATGCGTATGAACAATGCCAACAAGGAGTTTGCGATTCCTCAGATTGAGGAGAGGATTTTGGAGCAATGGGATATGATTCCTGTTTCACCAGACATGGTGGAAGACGAGACGGGAGCTTCCAATGAGACAGGTAAAGTGAACCAGCTGACGGCTTCCCTGGATGTCAACGACTACTCGATCGGGAGGTCGATGTCTGGGTTCTTCGGTCTTGACGATTGATGTCCAGGGTTTCTGCGACTTATTGGGAAATTGTTCCATTGCTTTGTAATATATTTCTGTTGTTAGTTCATCTCCGGCCAAGTGTGGCTGTGTTTTATGTAGTCAGGAATGGCCATGTGTGGCTTTGAATCCCTGCCGCTTTGCGGCTCTCGTATGGATAAACTTAGATTTTTTCTTGGAAAGGAGTTTAAGTACATTTGGATCTTTTTTAAGTGTAGGGGGAAGAATACAAGTTTTCATCTCACTCCTAACTCTTTTTGCGGATCGTCCTATTCGTTGCTCGTTCGAGATGTTTGAGAAGTTTTTAAAGTTTCGAGTGCGTTTAGATATGGACGAAGAGACATGCTTTCAGGATCTCGTATCTTTTGATATCATGCCTGAGACGTTAGACACAAGTGTGTTGGGTTTAAGTTAAGATCTAGGTTTACTTTCGTTTTGAGGCTCTGCGATGATTAATCGGCTTTCATTTTTCCTGTTGCAATTTTGACCTGACTCCGTTCCGATTTAAAATCCGTGATAAGTTCTCTACTTATATGATTTGTTTGGTCGGAGTCAAACGTTTCTCCGGAGACAATTTTTAAGTCGTCCAGAAGTGCTGACCAAAATTTTGGATTTCTTATATAGCACGCTATTTATCCTAGTCGGATGTTAGAGGATCTATCTCTTAGGAAGGCTCTAAATGTATTTGTTTAGGATGGCTAAGGTGCTCGGTGGGGCCAATCAACGAGCGTTCGTACTTTATAGTCACAAATGAACTG